CTTCCACATTATTGATCTGCTAATGGTTAAAAAGACACAATTGTAAATCGGACTTTATAAAATTAAAAGTCATTTGAAATTACCCCCAGTTATATTCTCTTTAAAGTATTGGAGTGTAAAAAGAAATGTTCTTTAATTAAAAAACTTTTTTTGGCTGTTTTTTTAATATTTTTCATCTGAAGTGTCAATATAACTTCAATATAAGAATTAACAATGTGTCACAAAGTTTAACAATTTTTAACTTTATAGTCTGCATAAACAATCCATTATAATGTATCTAGGCCTGGATTGTTGTATTTGTCCTTACTCCTAGATCCGTCCTTGCTCCAAGATTACTTACTCCAAGATCCATCCTTACTCTAAGATCCATGCTTTACTCCTAGATCCATCATTACTCAAAGATCCATCCCTACCCCTAGATCCGTCCTTACTCGAAGATCTATCCTCACTCATAGATCCGTCCTTACTCCAAGATCCATCCTTACTCCTAGATCCAACCTTACTCAAAGATCCACCCTCACTCCAAGATCCATGCTTTACTCCTAGATCCATCCTTACTCCAAGATCCATTCTCACTCCTAGATCAGTCCTTACTCCAAGATCCATCCTTTCGCCTAGATCCATCCTTACTCCTAGATCCATGCTTACTCCTATAGATCCATCCTTACTTCAAGATCCATCCTTACTCCTAGATCCGTCCTTACTCGAAGATCCATCCTTACTCCTAGATCAAACCTTACTCCAAGATCCATCCTTACTTCAAGATCCATGCCTTACTCCTAGATACGTCATTACTTAACCATCCATCCTTGCTCTTTTGTACGTCCTTTCTCTGGGTTTTACTCCTGAGTTTACACCTGAGTAAAACGAAACAGGCCTGAAATTATATTTTACATTTAAAGGTTCAAAAGACGCAGACAACTGTAGAATAGGAGGTCAAATTTTAAACTCAAATTCTCTTATTAAGGGAGTTTACTACTAGTAAAAATATGCTAAGTATCAATTTATCAATTAATGTCGTCTTTATATTCAGCAGTTTTCTGGTTATCACTGTAAACATATATATAAACTATGTATATTACCAATAACAAACATAATGATTGCAAATAATAATAAATACCTATAAATATTGGTAAACAAACCAAATAAGATAAGTCCAAAAGTTTACTGCAGTATGTACACTCTAAAGTGTAAGTTGACTAGCAGGGGGGGGGGGGGGGGGNTTAACTTAATAGTATTCGGATGTTTATTTTTACATTTACAACGGTACCCTGTAAACCTTTATCGGATCAATATTGTGGAAGATATTTTTGTTCTTCTAGCTTGCATAGTGTTTACTTCTTACAACTCCTTCATTGTTTCTGTAGCAAGAAATCCGCAAGTCACTTTTTAAAAGCAAAAATGGATATCTCATTCAATCTTGATCAGATAAAACTATTAGGGGGTATCGTTGTAAATCTGACATGCCATTCTATAAGAGGCGTCTAAACCTCCTTGAAGTCCATCACAGTTTAAATTTAAACTTTTATTCTCTACAAGTTTTATTTTTTACATTATGCAACCAAGTTCAGGAAATCCGCAAATGAACACATGAAAATTTGTGAAATTATTTAGTTTTTGTTAGTTTTTAAGCAAAATTTTGAAGCTTAATATTATCACTGAAGAAAGGGCGCAAAGCATAGTTTTTATAGAAAATAACAAATTTCACCTGATAGAGACAAATCTTATGAACAGAACTATAATCTGCCTTGCAAATTTCTAAATTCTTTACACAAAGTTGTTTTAGCACCTTTTTGAATCAGACCTTAGGAGCTGACTAGTCTCTTAGAACACTTTTGTAAACTGTAAAACACATTAATTTTTTTAAACAACAAAAAGAATTAAAAAGCACCAAGCTTGTTGAAAGCATTACAAATGTCCAAAAAACGTTTTTTAACAGTTTTAAAACTCAAATCTGCGTGTTTTAAAGTAAACAAAGATGGTGAAAAAGAGACATAATAATCCAAGCTCTTGGTTCCCTTTTCCAACTGAATACAAAATATAAATTATGACATATATACAGTGGGGCTCATAAAACTGTGGAAAAGGAAGACAAAAAACAGCATTTGCTTAAATGTCGTCTTTCCATTTCACATTTTTTAGGGCTCTCTTTATATTAAAGCTTATACATTACATGTTTTAGAAGTATAAATGGTTTCCAAAACTTCTGACACAACTTTATAATCAATCAAAAATAAGTTGATTTTTTTCTTTAAGTTTCCAAGTTTCTTCAAGTTTGATAATGAATCTGTTCAAATATGCACTGTTGGAAACAAAATTATTTAAAAAATAAATAACATTCAATGATGAAAAAATCCCTTTAAGTTGCTTTATGGAACTAATTGGAATTATATACACATAACAAGAAATATTTTTAGAATAATTATACCTTCCAAAAAACAGCTTTTACGAAATTATGTCTCAAAGGAATTGAGTCTTTGGAACAAAATCAAATATTTAAACCACAATATCTTCAGAACTCGATGTTGTAAACCTTTGATATTTCAAACTCAGATTATTTGATCTAACAAAATTCATAGTTTGAAATATCTAAGGTATGTAACATTTGGTTCCAAAGATATAGTGATTAGAAAATCAGAGTTTGTGGCTAAGACTCAATTCCTTTGTNTATCTGAAAGTGTGATATTTTTATTTTTAGGTGTATAAGTGTCCTTTTTTTGTAGTTCTATTTGCATCTTAATTGAAGTTTTGTTGCTAAGCAGTTTAGGACTGATTCCGTCAATTAAATGAGTTTCCTTTAGTTCAATAGATTTAGGGCTGAGAAAGGTTTGTTTGTTGGTTTTGAAACTGGTTTCGACTTTCAGAAAATCAAGTTTTGGATCCGTTTCCAGACTTGCTGTTTTCAGGAAGGTATTGTCGCTAAAATGTTTTCTGCACTCTGGATTCTCCTATAACAATTAAATTAATGTTATAGTTACTTTAACCGTTTACCCGCGCATGGTACCAAATCATGATTTTAGCCGAAGTGCCTGACGATGCCTGTATAATTTCAAAAAAATCTTCCAATATTTTAGCCCAATAATTGTTGCGTGTTCTGCGGGATTTTTTCTTTCTTATAATAATGTAAATCTATCGATATATTTTTGTGGATTTTGAAAAAATCAAAATTTATCTAAAGCATTTTTTCCTTGGGGTCATGTTAGTTGCCACAAAAAATGTGAGCTCTATTGCTTCAGCTGTTTTGTCGTGCAATTGGATACAAACAGACGATGAAAGTATATAGATGAGCTTTACTACATGGATGTAAAGGCAACTTGGTTCTGAAAGCTATTATATTCAAAGCAACTTGTTAAAGTGCAAGATTTTATGTAAAATAGTTTCAAAAGCTGAACTCATGAAACAAACTTTAAGTAAAAATATGAAGGGAAGCTTATGATCTCCCATTATCAAAGGACATATTATTGTAATATTATTAATTACATGTAATTTTAAATAATTTCCCTGCCCATATAATGCATTTATATCTAACTAAGTATTCTGTTGGCTTGTGTGTATCCAAAAAAAACGATAAACTGAATAAACTGAACCAAAATTTAAAAAATCCGCCAATGAAAACAGGAAAATCCGCTAAATTTTAGTATTTACATTTATGCAAATAAATTAAATCAAATGTATACCTATTTAGTTTTTCTATTACCGTATTATTTTTGAAGAGTAATTCGCACCAGTCATTTTTAACATAGAAGAACATTCCAAAAACTTAAAACATCATAAATCATCTTAATCAATCAAAATGATTTGAAAAATGGAATTTAAATGTTTTTGATGACATTTTTTTTAAAAATTTGAAGAAAGTTCAAGATTTGTTGGGTTTATTTTTAAATCTCTTTTGCAAAATTGCTACTTGAAGTCAAGGTACTAATGCAAGGAAAGTTTTTTTAAGAGGTGTACGCATATTTTGATCTGTCTTTGGGCAGAAAAGTAAAAAAAAAAAGACGGATGTCACAGCCTGACATGGAATCCATTTTCACAAAAATAATCTATGAAATATTTTGGTCATAAGAAACTATTATGTGAATTTTCAAAATTATCAAAATTAAATGCTTTTAACCTTCTCGGATACTAAACGAACACTGATGCATCTTTTCTTGTTTACAAAGTCCGCCCAGAGAGAACTGGTTTCAATATGTACGCAGAGTATACGCGGCCGCAATTAACCATAGAGAATAGAATATATATTAGAGGGGAATTTAAAGAATCTCTCGGTATGAATTTTTTCCGTCCCTTTCAGTCTGAAAGGGAGTTCAAAGTGTACAAATCATGTAAATGTTCACAAATTATATGCAGTAGAGTACATTAATACAGTATGTTCCCTAGACTATTCATTTCAATTTCGAATTTTTAAAGCTGTTAAATAAACTTTATAATGAATTAAGGGAATAAAAAACATCATTTGATTTATGGTTATAACGGA